AAAAAGTGGTTAGGAACTGTATTAATAAACTTCAGCACAAAYTTTCAGTAGGGCCTTGTCTATCTATCTTCCAAAATACTATATATATAATATATAGTATATATATATATATGCTATATACAAGGCATTGCTGGATCATTTAGGCATCTGCTCAGCATGAAGAAATGAGGCAATATTGGAATATTGTGTAGATCATGACTTTGGGAGATAGGGATGCTGCTGTTAGGAAAAGGAAYTGTTTTGAATGGACACAGAAGAAGCAAAGGGAGGGAGAAGTSGGTGTGCTGACTTAGAGCAGGAGGAAAATGGGGTTGTGAATGTGTTCTGGACTGTGCAGGTGGGAGTCAGAAGAGCTGTGTCTGTTCTAGGGAAGGGTATTAGTGGGTGGCTGCTTTTTTACAGCCTTACCTTTCCACAGTTGTGCTTTATCTGTAGCCCTGCATGGTAGCTGGCCATCTACATCCACATTAATGCTTTCTATGTTAAATACACTGTAATACAGAAATAGTCCTTTGGTTCTCAAGTTGTATAAATATGTAAAATTTAAAAAAATAGGATTGCACACTGTAATACAGAAATAGTCCTTTCGTTCTCAAGTTGTATCAATACGTAAAATTTAAAAAAGATAGGTTTGCTTGGTGAATGCATTAGTCTTTTAAAAATGCCAAGTTCACCAAAACTAAGACTCTTTTACCTGTTTGCTCTGATTTCCAGCATACTTGCCATGGTCTAATAATGCCCAATAACAGACACCTGAACTCTGTCCTTGTACAGAAATCAAGAAACAGGGTATGTGACTGCAGCACAGTGCAATCCAGCATCTTCCTTTTTCTCAGCATGTGTGTGAGCCTTGCTGTATGAGAACTCTGTCCATGTGCTCTGTGCCCACATCCTCACTGAACAGAATGTTTACACAGAAAATTCAATGACCCCTCTGCCCCCTTGAGCAGCTATTTCACCTGATACACAAGGCACTGTCTCAGTGATGGATATACAAATAGTGTATATAGTAATACAAATAGTAGTGTCACCAGGTRGCTGCTCTGCATCTCCTGTCCTTCCTGGCAGCCTTAAGGGATGCAGATTCTGCTGGGCTGCTTTGACACCCTGGAAACCCTGCTGAAAGGTGTGCAGGTCTCAGTCACTCAGTGTTCACCTGAGCATTTCTGGTTGCCAACAGCACCACCAAAGATGGCAGGGCTCTAACCAGGTTATAATTTTTTTTTTATAATCCGAATCTGCTAAACTCTCCCAGATTACCCCTTCATCATCACTTGGCACAGTGAATATAGTTAGAATCAGTGAGTAAATACTACTGACCATCACCAGCTCTACAGGAGGGATAAGTTATGGATGCCTTGGGTGGGAAACTGGCTTTCCTGGCTTTCAGAGTTGTGAGTTTTTASTAACTTGGAGAACCTGGGATAACAACTGGATTAATCTTACTACRCATGCACAAGAATAAATTTGTTAATGAAATAAGCTAGTTGGATTTAAAGGAGAAGAAATCTTGTTTTTAAGATGAGGTAACACAGTTTATGAGAGAGTGCAGTAAAAGACTTAACTTTTGTTTTCATAATTGATGCAGAGGATGGTCAGTGAGCATGGGAAGCTCTGTGGAGGGATGGAAATAGAAAATGATGTGCTCCCATTGCTGGGCTGGGGAGGATTGTGGTGGTTCTGTTTAGGTGGGCTGTGTGTAAAACCCACTGGGTCAGTGGAATGTGTAACCCATCTCGGGGAAGACTGTCCAGTTTTGTGATGGTGTGAACACTGTGGTGTAGGTGGAGTTGAATTATGTTTCTGAATTCTTCAGGCACTGAGTTGGATCTATTCATAGGTTGTTTCCTGTTTGCTTTACTGATGGTTTGCCAACATCTCCCAAGTCTTCACTGGAATGGAGAAAGTACTTAAAGATTRGAGTGGTAAATAGCATCAGCCCTAATGTTTCTCCTCCTTTAATCTTTACTGGATGAGAGCACTAACTTGCATTAACTTGCCAGTGAAAAGACTGGCAAACAGTATCTGAATTCATTTCTAGTACAATGCAGATTATTTTTATTAATTTGACCCACACATACACATGGATTTGTGCACAGAGCACTTTGAAGTGTATGCCTCAGTGCTTTGACAGCTGTATAGGTGACTGGCTTTTTGTTTTGTAAGGATATTATTTTGGGGGTTTGTTTTTGATGTCAGTGTCAATAATAGCAGGCTCAGTTTACATTAAGAACTCCTTGGTGTTGAAAATTATATTAAAAACCACCCCCACTTCCTTGCAGTCCAAACAAACAGACAAAAAAATACCCTAAAGATATGAAGCCTGTTAAAAGAAGCCAGTGAGCTTTCCAGGAGGAGCCAGGGAAAGGTGAAGCCACAAGAAGTCTGAGGGCCCATGGGAAGAGTTGCAAGAACAGGTTGGTTGGTGAGAGAGTGAACAAAAGTGTGACAGTAAATATGGAGCCCAGACATATCAAAAATCAGATTTATTTTTTCCTGTTGTCATCTRCAGTATACTTCATGTTATTTGCTCTCTAAAATTCATTTCTCTGGTTGACACATGTTCAACCATCATTGACTTAGTCTCATCTTTTGTGTATTTTTAAAAACATTTTTGTTTGTTTAAATACAGGGTACTAATCTGTTCAAGCTGAGGACAATTTATTATGCTGTTGCATGTAACTTTATTTCATAACTTCCATTTTAACCGAATTTTGCATATCTGAGAACATAACGGTGTCATTTTTTTGTCATTTTAAGCTGTACAATAATTTAATAGCAAGTAAGTTTTGGGATCTGCTACATTAAAAGAACTCTGAATTTGTAGTTAATAAAATGTCCTCATTGTAGCTTGTATTTTGTTTAGCATTCATGCTTCATTTCGAAGGGGCAATTGAATGCATATTCAGTTAGGAAAGACTGATAAGGGAGAGTTCAGCTGTTCCTCCTCCCATTTGAAAAATAATCATACACTCTTAACTTTCCTTCTTGTTTGCTTGAAGTGCTTGGAATTATAATTGTTTTTATATTCCAAATAATTGAGGAAATAGAAACCAGTTCATCATACACAAAACATCCTGATAGGTAATGGGTTTAATTTTTAATGGTCACAAAATTAGCTGCTCTGAGTCAAGGGGATGGTTTGTGCCTATACTGTAGTAGGACCCTGTCCTTGTGGTCCAAGGCAAAGTAACACAAATCATGTGCTGAGAATTCAGAAAAGTGCAGGATTTGTTAATTCCTTCCATGATTTTCCTCAGGCTCTCTTCTCCGAAACCATGCCAGAGATGACAGAGAATGAGACACCTACTAAGAAGCAACATCGGTGAGTTTCTGTAAGAAAATGACTGTTTAGTAGTTCTGTGGTCTGCATTCATATTTCCAGTTTTTGCAGGATTTTCTAGCTAAAACTTTGGCAATAAGGCAATGGACAAGAATTTGTGAGTGTTGATGTCTTTCCAAGAGTTTCTCTCTTGCCCTGTCTATGAGAAACTATTTGTTGAAGACATATCTACCTGGGTCACTTGGACAAAAGAGATTCTTGGATTATTTCACTGACTATTCTGATGTGTGTAAAACTGCATCACTGCCTTGGTTAGAGCACAGCCTCTATTACTGTGGAGGCTTCTTGTAGATCTTGGGAGCTATTACTCTAATTTTGACAGAGTAATTTAGACCTCTTCCTCAACTCCCAGTGGAATCAGGATCTTACATTTCAGATCTCTGCTGGAACTCAAACTCGGCCTTGAGGTTGTACAGCAACACTATAACCAAATTTGTAACACTGTGATTCAGCACTCACTTCAACTCTTCCTGAATTTTGTTCCTTTGTAGCAGTGTGATTGATCTAATATCTGATTGATGAGGAGTTCTTCAGTCCTTAATTAAAAGCAGCATTCATCTTATGCTAGATCACCATGTAGGATTTGATTCATGATCAAGAAAATTTCAGAGAGAACATTGATTTGTCCTACAGAATGTTTTTTAATCTTCACAGATTTCGCTACTCTTTCTTACCCAGCTAATACAGCATTTTGTGTTTGGTATTGATAATGTAAATCAAAGGGCAGCTGGGTCTCTCCTGTCCTTATATTCTTGTGTGTATGATCATCTTTAAGCATTATTTCTTAGCAGATGTCTCAGCTCTGATCTGTAACAGTAACAATKCTGTCTGATAATCATTGTCTCTCAGGTTCACACTATCTTTGTGAGTTACTAGAAATAAGTATCAACTCAAAGCATAGATATACTGTAACTCACAGGAATCACACGTGTCTACCACATGTATCTTGCATTCTTACCTCTGATTCCTTGTTTTATATGGACTGTTCTGGAACACTCAAAAAGGACAGCAGAAGATGCTACTCTGTGCTATTCTTGTTTTTTGCATACCCTAGCCCACAGAGAGTGTGCTGCTGGACAGAAGTTTTTTGAATTTTTTTTTTTTTTTTTTTCTGGAATGTTTCTCTTCCCAGAAAACACATGCTTTGCTTTACTGCACTTCCTGGAAGAATTTATCTTAGTGCATGTGTACAGTACATCTTACTTATATATGTAGAGTACACGTTTGGAATTTACTGACTGCCAGCAAAGCAGTTTGAGACATTGCATAAAAATTGTTGCCATCAGCCAGTAGTCCCAGTGAGCATCTGAAACCAAAGACAGCCCTCATATGCCCAGATTACACCTATACAAAATTTTGAGACAGTAAAGAACATCAGCTGCAGAGGAACAGTAATCCTAGTTTCTCTCACAAAGGAAGCTTCTTTCACACCTGAAGCTTTGATGCTTGAAAATCAACGTGCATGGTAAAGTTTTCTCCTGTTTCATTGATCCAGTGRACATAAAAGCAACATTTTAAACACTTATCTGCCTTGCTCCTCAGAAACAGAACTATTTTTTTAATCTTTGGCCTTATTGAACACTGCATAGTGTAACATAACTGAACAGGAACATAAAAACCCAGCTYTGTGCTATAAATATATACCAATAATCAAGTGGAATATTACATTGTGCCTTGTTATATATAAATTGATTTAAGTCTGAACATTAATGAATTTTTGTTAGAAATTGTTTGATACCAATGTCTAAGAACATCTGATTGTGACTTCTGCTGTTCTTGTCCATAGAACAGAGTATAATATTTAGTATTTTTAGTGTAAYAGAAATAATAAAAGAAATATTAATTTGTATGCAGATTTTTTTACCTTCAGTTTCACATCACTCTTTTCCTTTTGTGTTTCACAGAAAGAAAAACCGGGAAACACATAATGCAGGTAGGAAAATTATGCTTTGTTGTTTGTTCTGGAAGTAAGCACAGACACTTTGGAGTAGTAAAACATATTTTGCATGGAGAAGGTTCAGATTGTTTCTAGTTTGCTGTTTTCCACAGTACAAAGTTAAAATATGGAGGAGTACCATGCCCCTGCCTTTCCAAAGCTAGTAAATTAAGAACTAAACAATTTCTGCGTTCAGTTCCAAAGGAAAATAACTTCACAGACATTCAGACACAACTCTCAAAACAGAGACAGGTGTCTGACCTGAGAGCTTTAGAGGCACCCTGGATTAGAAATATTCCTCTAGCCCATTCCTAAGGCACCCACCCAGATGCTGACATCCCTGGAATTCTGTGYCAATGTGTGCTGCAGGAGTTGCATCCCTTGGGCAGCACCTAGTCCCAGCCTAACACCAGTTACATCTTCTACAAGTGGGAGCAGAAAGGTGGACTGGGGAGGAATCTGGCAGGCTTTGGCCCAAGATTTTATCCCAAAAAGTTGATTGCAGTTCTTCTTTCACTGAACAGATCTTCACAAACTCAGCTGGAWAAAAACACTGRGAGTTTTCCATGGGAAAGCTGTGCMATAGAGTGCTTGTCGAGTGTGCTCAGGGTGTGGCCAATTTCTTAAGGATTAAGAAGAATCAGGAAACAGTTTTATCAAGTTTGCTTCTAAGATTTCTGGCCTCACAGAATTCCCAGTTCCTGTTTCACTTGTTGATAGCTTTCCAGAATCTGTCCCCTGGACTAACTCTGCACTGTGTGGGACCAGCTCCCTCCAGCCCTGTGTTTGCTTAGACATTCAAGCTGAGTAGAGTGTGGCAAATATTATCAAAACATCACAAACACTGTGATACCACTATGTAAGATAATAAATATTAAGTCCCAAGTGTAGTGTGTTTTAATTTTTACAGAACTGCTCTAACTTACACAGTAAATTTCTTGCATAAGAAACTTTGTCTTGCTGTGTTTAGTGTATTTAGGCCTGTCTCTGTCAATGCCAGCAGTCTCTCCCAAAATATTTTTTAAAAAAAAGTTTGAGAGGGGTGAATTGAAGTGCCAGTGATAGTCTACTGAAATAAGACTGTTTAAATTAACTTAGTGAGTCTTTCATAAAGGAGCAAAATGAAATACAGTCACCTGCAGGTCATGGTTTGTTTCTGTGTGCCACCAAAAGCAGAGCAACTGCTCTGCTTATAAATCAAAATAAATAAAATAAATCCAAAGGTTCATTCAGCACAATGACTGAGCARCACAATGGTTTGAATCCTGACAAAGCCATGACAGAACTATTCCCAGGTTTGTTATTTTTTAAGTCATCTAATAGTTTTAAGTTTGCATAGAACAGGAAAATATTTCATTAAAAAAAACATAGCTTCACATAGGGAGTGAAGTATATTTGACTATGGTAGAGGGAAAACAGAGGTACTGTTTGTAAAAAAAACATGCCCAGAGGATTTACACATCTAAATTTCTAGTTGAACCAATGTTGAGGTAAATTATGTTACTAGAGGACTATAAATGAAGTGCTTTCTGACCTTTTCCAAGATAGGTAATTCACTAAAAGTACTCTCCATTCAATATTTTCTTTACTCCCAGTCAGACAGATTTTGTGGAACAGTTAAACCTTTGGACATGGAAAATTTCAACTGAGAGTCCATAAAACTGAAGCTTCAGCTATGTTCAGTATTGGCTGGCTGCTCTGTCAATATAAATTTAAAATTAAGCCTGAAGACTGATAAAATGGACATCATTTTCTTTTGGTGCTAAATTTGAAATTAGTATTTAAGAGACATGGGTTTGCTTCCCAAATCTGAACTTAGTTCTTTCCATAAWCTTTGTTCATTTGCTTTCTGTATGCCTAAATTTATTCAATCTGCCTCATGAAAAGGATGTCATGAAACTGTGTTGGAAAGCAGTTTCAAACCTGAATTTTAAGTTGTAGGGACTTTTCTTTTTCATTAAGGGATCCAAAATATCCCCACCTTTTAAAAGTATTGTTGCTTACATTACAGCTCTCACTTCCACTGAGTATTAATTCGATAACTGAGGTTTACTTGAGAGGAATTTTTTTTCCTCACTCAAGTTACTCCTGTTTCCAATGTGTAATGAAATAAAATAATGAAATACTGTATTTATGAGCCCTTACATTGTTCTAGTTGTGCTGCTCTTGTGCTTACTTGCCCAACCAGATGACACAGTACATATTATTTTTGCTCAGTGGAGAGACATCGAAAAAAGAAGATTAATGCTGGGATAAACAGAATTGGAGAACTCATTCCCTGCTCTCCAGCACTTAAGCAGGTGAGTTTCCATCCAGAAATTCAAGTTTCCTCTCAAACATTCAAATATTTCTTTGCCTGTAGAAGTATAAATAATTATTTTACTATTTGTATTAGCAAAAAGGCAAAACTGTCTGAATTAATATGCTTGAAAATATTACTAGTTATTAGTATTTTAGAAACTATTTGTAATAGAATTCCTGTTTGGAAGTGTAGGGTCACATGMATGTAGTTACACAGATTTTGAGTGTTTTATCTGAAAGTACTGSATATAACTGATTATTTTTGTCATCTTTCATAAAAGGGCTTAAAAGCAATTCAGAAACTGAAATTWTAATWATARTAATTTAAGACACTTTCTTTACAAAGGATGAAGTGAAACAAATGGTTTGAGGTTGATGCACAGAAGCATCTTTTTCAAGATAGAGCAGACACTGTTCCTACTGCACAGTAGAAGAATTTAGGAAGTGAACAAAGATTTTGCAGGCAGAATAAGCATAGTTTCATARAAAGATGATTGTGGATGGGTTATTTTCTCTTCCCATATTCCCCAGTATATTACTTTTAAAATTATGCATATATCTCCCTGGATAGTTGTTTTATGTTTGTTTCTTTTCTAATAAAATATTTACAAGGCAGTATCCTGGAAATTTCATGCAATGTGTATGTTTATTAGTGAACATGAATTTTATGCTGAAAGCAAGAAATTATGCTGGCTGTTCAGGATCTGTGGTATTATCTACCTTTGGGCATCAGAAAGTGTCAGCTCCAGCACTGAAAATGTTATTCTGTAAAATCTCATGCCATTTTAGGGTCAATATCACTCAAAAACCAAAAAAACAACCTCCAAAAATCCCAACCCAAACCAAAAGAAAAACCCTACCCAGTGATATTCAGAGAGTCATTCAACATAGCATATTTTTAAAGACYTCTTGGAGTAAATGCAGCCTCATCACTAATGGATTTACCAATTTTAAACCTTTCTCCTAACTTTATATGTGTTTTTTTTCTTTTACAGAGCAAGAACATGATCCTGGATCAGGCCTTTAAGTATATAACAGAAATGAAAAGACAAAATGATGAACTTCTGTTAAATGGAGGGAACAATGAACAGGGTGAGTACTAGAATTTCTGTCCCTCACTTGTGTCTCTTTGTACTGACTAAAAACAAAGCTTGGATCCACAAATGGGAATCCCAAGACATTAGGCACATAGAGGAAAAATACAGCTGCTTAGAATATCTTGAAACAAAAAGCCAGCAGAATACCCCAGTGAGTGTTCTTGCACATAGCTGTGAGATAATGAAGCAATTGCATTGTGATGTAAAGTAATTACAGAGTTTATGGGTGATGTGGCATCATCTGGTRAATTTTGACCCAGTTTATTCTGCTGCAGTGACCAGGATATTTCTGACAAACTTCAGTCTCATATTTTTTTCATCAAAAAGATGAAGTTTCCTTCATTCATAAAGCTTTTTTTTCCCTTTGAAAAGATGTAGTAGTTATAATGGCTCATTTTATAAAAATACAGTGCATCATATAAAATTTACTTGAACAGAGGTGTAAAAGCACAGTGATGAAGGTATGACAGAAATAATCTCAGAKCTAATGTTGTCATTTGTGATTTTTATTTCTGATTTATTGTGGTTTTCTCAGTTTGGTGATTTTCCAAGTGCATTGCCAGTTTTTGTGGCTTTACAGKAGTGCTTTGTACTTCATTTTGCGTGTAATTTTTAGATGTAATGAAACTTAATTCTCCTGGAAAGCTGCAAGATTATCAATTAAAGAAAAACAGTTTTGGTGTTTGCAAAAGAGCAGGGAAAAGAAAAAGATGAATTTGCTTGTCTTTCCTTCAGGAATTAAACAATTTTGATTAGTGTTCAGTTTCATCTGAGTTAGTCCTAATGTTTCTTCCTAAGTAATTTGACATAACCTGCTATTGGTAATGGAATAGTCTGTGAAATTCATGCACTTCCCCACTCAATAAAGAGACTTACCAGGGTAAGAGTCTTCACTTATGTTGTGCTAACCATTTGAAAAGAACATACATTTTAAACAATTTATTCGATTTATTTCTACCAATTATTTCATTACTACACAGTGTTTACTCTCTAAGTCACAAGGTAACATTATTTCATTATTTGCTGTGTTGCTGATGTAATGGAGTGTTTTCACTGTTTTGTAGCTGAAGAGATAAAAAAGCTCCGGAAACAGTTGGATGAACTGCAAAAGGAAAATGGGAGATACATCGAGCTCCTGAAAGCAAATGATATTTGCCTGTATGATGATCCYACAATCCACTGGAAAGGAAATCTCAAAAATGCCAAGGTCTCAGTWGTCATTCCCAGTGATCAGGTTCAAAAGAACATCATTGTCTATTCMAATGGGACTCAACCCAATGGAAATAACCAGGGAGCATCTGTCCAGGGCATAACATTTAATGTTGGTCATAATTTACAAAAGCAAACAGCCAATGTTGTGCCAGTTCAGAGRACTTGCAACCTAGTGACTCCTGTGACAATTGCTGGTATTTATCCCACAGAAAATAAGCCATGGTCACAACCTACAGTTTCTCCAGTGGCATCTGCTCAGACAGCTCCAGCAGGGAATGTTCTCGAGATTTCCACCSCGGAGAACGAGCGGGGTGTGCCCACCACTGCTCCTGCCAGCTCACAGAGCACACCTCGACCTGCAGCAGAGCAGGTACTACAGTGTTCCTCAAGTAATGCAGCACAGAACGAGCAAAATGCCCCCAAAAGTAAAAATGAYGAGGAGGGCACTAAATCAACAAAGAAAACACTCGTGCTGGGAACCAGCCTTCCTTCCAGTGCCTCTGCAGAAGCCTCCCAAGTTCAACAGGTGAATGCAACCTGCTCAAATACACACAATTCCAGGAGTGACCTTCAGGAAAGCTGTGCCACTTCAACCACAGACACAGCTTCTGTGCCAGCTGTGAGATTATCMACTGCAGAGAGCTGCTCTTCTGTAAATGTCCCCAAAAGTACGRTTGTGATCAGCAGTGCTGGGACTCCTGTGACATCTGCGGCAGAAGGAGCTAAGGCTGTGACAGCAATAAGCACTCTGGCTGCCAGTCCTCTGGAGAAYTGCTGGTCTTTTTCTGGCTCTTCAGGTGTTGGCACTTCAGACTTGAAAAACATGAGTAGCCTTACTCGGATGCCTTCAGCTGGGAACACACAGACCACATGGACAACTTTGCAGCTGGCAGGAAACACTGTTCAGCCACTGAGCCAAACWCCATCTGGGATAATGACTGCCCTCCTAAATGAGCCAGTCAGTGCTGCTGGCACTGTGTCCTCTGCCCACAGCAGGCCTTTGACTACCAGCATCAGTTTGCATGCTTCTGTGCCTGGGGATGGCCAGGCAGCTGAACAGATTGTGGTTACTTTGCCCTCATGCCCACCTGTACCTATACAGCCTTTAATCAGCCAGCCACAGGTTAAAGCTCAGGCTGCAGGAAATATCCTTCCATTAAATTCAGCTATGCAGGTGATTCAGATGGCTCAGCCAGTGGCCTCAGCTGTGACAGGAGCACCAGCTAACCAGAATGTCATCATTCTCCAGCCTCCAAACCCTGCTCCGTGCCCACCCATTGTGAGAGCAGAAGTTCCCAGCCAAAATGTTAGTCAGCAAATTGTAATTATACAAGCTGCAAATCAGAATCCTCTTCCCCTCCTCTCTGCTCAGCCTTCTGCTCCTGTGAGAGTTCCCATGAATGGGCCGACTGCAGTCGCCAACTCCAGCAGCTCCATGCAAAATGCCTCTCTTCCACAGACTTTTGGAGGGAAACACCTTGTCCATATATTACCAAGGCCATCCTCTTTGCCATCTTCTAGCTCTACACAGACATTTTCAGTGACAATGTCCAATCAACAGCACCCTCAGACTATCTCATTAAATGGGCAGCTTTTTGCCTTGCAGCCTGTGATGTCTTCATCTGGAGCTTCAAGCCAAGCCCCTATGCAAATTATCCAGCCCACCACCAGTGAAGATCCAAATACCAATGTTGCCCTCAATACATTTGGTGCTTTAGCTAACCTCAATCAAAGCATTTCACAGATGGCTGGACAGAGCTGCTTGCACTTGTCTCTCAGCCACCCCACCAATCCTGCAAGTGTCAACAACCAGATTGCCACGGTCAACTGTGTGTCACTGCCAACTTCTGTGGCATCTTCGGTGCCTGCAGAGGTTTCAGTATTAACCAGTGCATCTAATTCCATAAATGCTTCCCCCCAAAAAGCAGCTGCCGGCTTGCCATCCACCGCAAAATCAAAAAGGACAAACAAAAAGCCAAGCACAAAGAAACACCAAGCAGTCAATAATAAAGTGTCCTGCCCAGCAGTTCCTTGCAAAGACGCAGGGAAGGTGGACTGTGCTCCTGTGGAAACRGTGGCAAAGCATTCAGATGGCAAAGGGCCACCTGAAAACACCCTGGCAGCATCACAGGCTGTACCCACATCACAGGCGAGCGGAGCGGCCGCGTCGAGCAGTGTCAGCACTTGTGACTCTCACTCCAAAGAGACTGTGAGCTCTGAACAGGCAGAGAAAACCCCCTCTGCTCCCGAGCCAAGCTCAGCAGAGGTGCCTGCTGCCTCACCACTGGAGGCTGTGGTGTCAGAGCAGCTGCTGCTCACTCCAGCTCCAGCCAAAGATGCTGCTCCTCACCATCAGGCACAGGGGYCTCAGAGCAACCCAGCCACTGCCTCCACCTTGGCAGAGTCTCCCAAAACCTGTGAACCCCCCAACACCTTAACATCCTCTCRTAAAGAAGCACAGGTGACACATTTGCAGGYTGCTGAGACATCAGCAGCACAGAGYAACACAGCAGGTCATACTTCCAAGGCAGGAATGATTTCAGAGTCCTGCAACATCCCACAGGATTCTTCAGTGGTAATGCAAGATGCGGACTTGTTAGAAGGGCARGGTCTAACCAAAATGTTGTCTGATCTCACAAAAGAAAGAACAGCTGTGGAAAAAACCTCTTCATTTACTGTTCAGGGGGAGCATTCTAMTTTTCCTATGGAAAACTCTAAATCGGCAGAACCAAATGTTGATTTGCCTGAGAAGCAGGAACTCTTGCTGATGAACACGGAAGGGGACACTCTCTCCCAGCATCACTCCTGCATCTCTGATCAGGAGGTGGTCAGTGCTTCCCTTATCACCAGCAGGCAGGCAGACTCCCCGATGTCAACCAGCTCTGGCAGCAGTCGAGGCTTCTCAGTTGCATCYATGCTACCAGACACGGCCAGAGAAGATGTCACAAGCAGCACCTCAACCAGCACCTGTAACAGCTGCACATTTTCAGAACAGACTGACATTGTAGCTCTTGCAGCAAGAGCGATTTTTGACCAGGAAAGCCTTGAGAAGGGTGGAGGGGGAATACAGGTTAACACGAGGGATGCCATCTCTAAGTCTGAGGCTGCACCTTTGGAGAGAGAGCAGCAGCCTTTTAAACCTCAGTCGGTGAAAGAAAACAGTGCAGGSCCACTGGAAGTGGCACCGAGCAAATTCAGTGCTCATGAAACAGTACAGACAAATGTGGACAGGCAGGTTGAGAAGCCAAGCTGCTCTGTAGGAGGTGTGGAAACATCAAACRCTCCTTTGCAGATTTCCACTTCCCAGACACCGAGCATAACCAGYCTAAGTGTGAATAATCTGATCCACCAGAGCCGCATTGTCCATCCCCTGGTGAGCTGCTCGAGTTTATCCCAATCTTCAGAGCCTGCAAGCATCCCTGCAAGTGTGAGCCTCTCCCTTCCATCTAGCACATATATCAATCCATCTCCAGGCCCTGCTCTGATGAGTGAATATGCTCAGGAACAACTGAATGCTATCAGGGCAAGCACCATGCAGGCTCCCCARCTGCAGGAATCACACTTAAAGCAGCAGAATCACGAAAGTCGCAAAGATTCTGCCAARAGGGCCGTTCAGGATGACCTTCTGCTTTCTACAGCAAAGAGGCAGAAGCAGTGCCAGACAGCACCCATAAGGCTGGAGGGGATGGCGCTGATGAACCGAACACCAGAGGGTATTGCTGATCAAACACAGATGCTGGTAGGTCAGATTCCTCCTAATTCATCCAATTCAGTGGCACCAGTGAGCAATCAAGGGCATGCTGATGGCCTCAATAGGTTATTCCCACCAAACAGCAATTTCGTAACACCAGCTTTGAGACAAACTGAAGTTCAGTGTGGTTCTCAGCCGCCGCTTTCTGAGCAGCCAGGCCAGGCAGGGCAGCACTTGCAGCCAATTCAACAYGTTCCTGCTCAAGGCATCTCTCACCTTCACAGCAACCACCCGTACCTGAAGCAGCAGCAGGCTGGGCAGTTAAGAGAGAGGCACCACTTGTACCAGCTGCAGCACCACGTCCCTCACGGGGAAAACTCCGTTCATTCTCAGCCCCACGGTGTCCACCAACAGCGAACCATACAGCAGGAGGTGCAGATGCAAAAGAAACGSAACCTCATCCAGGGAACACAAGCCACACAGCTTTCCCTACAGCAAAAACACCACGGGAATGATCAAACACGGCAGAAAGGTGGTCAGCCCCATCCTCACCACCAACAAATGCAGCAGCAGATGCAGCAGCACTTTGGAGCTTCCCAGGCTGAAAAGAACTGTGAAAATCCTGCAACGAGCAGAAATCACCATAACCACCCTCAGAGCCATATCAATCAGGATATTATGCATCAACAGCAACAGGATGTTGGCAGCAGACAGCAAGGTTCCACTTCRGAGCACGTGTCAGGGCACAACCAGATGCAAAGACTGATGACCTCAAGGGGCTTRGAGCAGCAAATGGTGTCCCAGGCCAGCATTGTCACCAGACCMTCAGATATGACATGCACCCCTCACAGGCAGGAAAGAAACAGAGTTTCCAGCTACTCTGCCGAGGCACTCATTGGGAAGACGCCCTCTAATTCAGAGCAGAGAATAGGAATATCTCTTCAAGGCCCTAGGGTTTCTGATCARCTTGAAATGAGAAGCTATCTTGATGTTTCTAGAAATAAAGGGTTRGCAATTCATAATATGCAGGGCCGCTTGTCAGTCGACCACACAGTTGGCTCGGATGTGCAGCGTCTTTCTGATTGCCAAACCTTTAAGCCCTCTGCACCCAACCAACAACCAACGGGCACTTTTGATGTACAGGCTTCAAGAAACAGTGAAATTGGGAATTCTGTGTCATCTCTCCGGGGCATGCAGTCACAAGCGTTCCGAATCGGTCAAAATGCTGCGCCATCCATAGAGAGGCAGAAGAGACTGCCCTACCAGCCAGTGCAGGGTATTCCAACAGGGAATCCCCTGCCATCGAGGGAAAATGAAAACACATGCCACCAAAGTTTCATGCAGAGCTTGCTTGCCCCTCACCTTGGTGATCAAGTCAGTGGAAGCCAAAGATCAATCCCAGAACATCAAAGGAACGCGCAGTGCGGTGCCTCCTCCACAATCGAGTACAACTGTCCCCCAGCGCGAGAGAGCGTCCACATCCGAAGGGATGGTGATGGCCAGAGCAGGGAAAGCTGTGACATGTCCATYGGGGCAATTAACTCAAGGAACAGTTCATTGACTATTCCTTTTTCSAGTTCTTCTTCCTCAGGAGACATTCAGGGTCGCAATACGAGCCCAAACATCTCCGTGCAGAAGTCCAACCCCATGAGAATGACRGACAGTCATGGAAGTAAGAACCACATGAACACATCCAGCAATATGCATGGAGTTGTGAGGCCAACTCACCCTCACCCTGCAGTTTCTCATGGMAATGGTGAGCAAGGGCAGCCTTCTGTTCGTCAGCCAAATTCTTCAGTCACTCAGCGCTCGAGGCATCCTCTGCAAGACAATGGGGGTTCTAAAATACGTCAGCCCGAAAGGAATCGATCTGGAAATCAGAGRCATGGAAATGTCTTTGATCCCAGTCTTCCCCATCTTCCTCTGTCCACGAGTGGCAGCATGATCCTTGGGCGCCAACAATCCACGATAGAAAAAAGAGGAAGCATTGTCAGATTTATGTCTGATGGCCCTCAAGTGTCTAACGATAATGCGGCCCCTGATCAACATACTCTCTCCCAGAATTTTGGATTCCCTTTTATTCCAGAGGGTGGCATGAATCCACCAATAAATGCCAATGCCTCTTTCATYCCCCCAGTCACTCAGCCCAGTGCCACTCGGACACCAGCTCTAATCCCAGTTGATCCCCAGAAYACACTGCCATCCTTCTATCCACCTTACTCTCCTGCCCACCCCACCCTCTCCAATGACATTTCTATTCCTTACTTTCCCAATCAAATGTTTCCAAACCCCAGCACGGAGAAGCCRAGCAGTGGAGGTTTAAACAATCGATTTGGATCCATTTTGTCTCCTCCCAGGCCTGTTGGTTTTGCTCAGCCAAGTTTTCCTTTGCTTCCAGATATGCCACCAATGCACATGACCAACACATCGCACTTATCCAATTTTAACTTAACTTCTTTGTTCCCTGAAATAGCCACAGCTCTTCCTCCAGATGGCTCAGCGATGTCTCCTTTGCTTTCCATTGCAAACACATCTGCTTCAGATTCTTCCAAGCAGCCCTCAAACCGCCCTGCCCACAATATAAGCCATATTTTAGGTCATGACTGCAGCTCAGCTGTATGAAAACTGGTCCACTGACTTCTGGTCTGATGTGTTGTTTATATATTTAAGAAGAAGGAAGTGGATCTTACTGGCATCCCTGGAAGAGACCATTCATAGCATCACTGTTTATTTGCCTAAATGTATGTATATGGTACTTTCCATATTTATATATGTGTTGTGTTTCCACCCACCTTACTAACTCTAAAGCACCAGTGCCTATAGCAATGCTTACTTACTAGGAAAAGGTAAGGATGCAACATTGAGAGCTGTGCAAATATTGGTTGTTGATTTTCCAACAATCACATTTGATGTCTGATTGTTCCAAGGTAAGGGCTGCCCTCAGTAATACCTGGAGTGAGAGCATCTGTATAGAAAATAGGAAACATKTGCTACAGGTGTCTGTTTGTTCCTGATGTGTTGAAATCACTGCAGAGGAGCTTGAAATGGTTTGGGTTTCTTTTTTTTCCTTTGTAAAATACCTTCAGGAGCCTCAACACAAGTCAAGTCTGTGTTAACCCAGTGCTAACTGGAAAAGGCATTTGTTGTGCAGCTTTTGTGCGTTTGAAGCTTTTCACATGCACTTGACTTAAAGCTGACTTTACCTGGCAAAATTACTGCGTGTTCCCATGGTCAGCAATTAAAAATACTGTTCTAGGAAATTTAGATTTCTTTGACCCATGACTTTCTAAGAATCTTGTTTGGATCCATTTCAGTCATGGCCTCAGTTATTGCTGAACTCAGTCAGTGTTTCAGTGTAGCTCACAACACAGCAGAGACAGCAGCTATGTTTGTTGCCATTTCATTGTTGGTTGCTGCAGATTACCTCAGGGTGGGTTTTGTACCTCRTTTAGCACCTTCTCAATGTCCTTTTTTCCCCCTCTACTTTTTTTTGGCACGTTTTCAAACACCAGCTTTCTGGTTTCTGTGAGTGACAGCCCTTTGTTGTAGCAGGCAGCACACAGGAGGAGGACTGAGCCTGTCAGTGGGAATTCTGGGGGCACAGTTTTTACTTAATATTGCTGATAGATTCAGCCTGAATTAATAYCAGTACTCTGCACTTGAATGCACCTTTTATCTAAATCTTTGTGATTGTGGCTGAAGCAGGAATATGGATGTGGTGAGAGTGAAACACACAGGAAGACACTGGGATTTGAGGAAGGATGGTGTGTTTGGAGATGCATGAGAGATGGAGTGAATGTGTGCRCTGGCTGAATCTCCAGTTCACAAATTTTGGTCCCATTTCTTTTAAAGGAAAGGGAAGAATTAGGTAAATTTTATTTATTTAATGTCTCCACAGCGTGCTTTTTCTCCAAACAGGGCAGAAATATTTTTCTTTTRTGTGTTTAAAAATACCATTCTGGGTTTGATTCTTCAAACAACACAGTAACTTCAGGTTTCCTTGCATGCAATTGCCCCCAAGCTTGAAAACCTTTTGTGTTGYCCACCAGTGCATCATCTTGCTGCTCTTGGGACTTGTCAGAATCTCATGATGAGGGAATGAGGAGGAGCAGGCTCCCTGGAATTGTTTTGTTTTGTTTTGTTTTTCTTTGAAAGGTGGAAAGGAAGACATTCCCCTCTGTCCAAGAACAGGACCCACAAAGAAGGACATAAAATAATTTTCTTCAGCTTGATTGCCCAGATTTTGGTCTTGCTAAGTCCTTTTACACTGATCCAAGAAAGTAAGGAGGCTTTAACATGAAAAATAGTTGGGTTTTGTCTGTAGTCTGTCCTGTAACCCGTGGTCTGTTGTTTTCCTGCACAGTGAAGTAAAACAGTTCTGATTCTTGTTGGGAATCATGGTTTAATTCAGGTGGAACTTATCTTTAGACACTAAATAGTGCATCAGTTCTCTGTTTCTTATAAATAATTGAATATTTCAGTTCACTGCCAAATTCTGTTAACCAGCCAAGTGGTAGCCACTGGCCTGTGCAGAGGGCAGGGATTAGGAATCAGTTCTCAAACCTGACAGAGGTCTGGCTGTGCCCTGGTGGAATTCTTGGCCAAAGGGGTGTCTGTAGTGCAGCAGCTCTCAAAGGGTCAGGTAAATTCTGCACCACTGACTGTTCCAGGGGTTCTGGGTGGGGATTGAAGGACAGGGGGATTGAAGCAGCAGCCACTCTGTGCGTTACATGCTTGTCTGGTTTTAGAAGAGGGAAGCAAACCCATCCATTCTTGCTCTTTTTAAATTGTGTGAGCAGCAATGTGTCTGGCTTTCAGGACAAACTAGTGGAAAATTAAGCCCTGGTTTTCAGGATTTTATATATAAAGATGTTAATCCTGCTCATCATTCCAGACATTCATGGAATACATKAGTTTCCTCTACTGGGAAAACGACACTACTTTCTGATGCTTATGAAAACTAGAGAGAGCTTATAAATTTAAACCTGTTGCAATGCTTGAATGTCCACAGATCCACTTGGCCAGATAAGATTCATCTCAGCAAGCAGGASAGATGGCAGGATCCCACTCCATCATCTACCAAAAGTCTGGGGAGTCTGGACAGATCCCTGCTGACAGGAAGGCAGCCAGTGTTATTCCATTCTACAAAAAGGGTGTGAGGGAAGAACCCAGGGAGCTACAGACTGTGAGTTCCTGGGGAAATTGTGAAGATTATCCTGGGTACTGTTGAAAGGAGTTTAATGAATAATACAATCATCAGGCACTGGAGATGTCTAGCTAATTTAATACTCTTCTGTGATAAGATCACCCACCTAGGGGGTGAAGGGAAGGGGRTGGATGTAATTTTTCTGGATTTTAGTAATGCTTTGGATACTGTCCCTCACAGTAGGCAGGAGTTGAACATACCACTGGCAAGTTTACCAAACTTGAAGGTGCTGTTCAAAGATGCTTTGCAGTGGATAGATGGTCAGTGCTGATCCCATTGACAGGATGCATGGGAATGGTTCAAAGGGGCCCTAAGGTAGGTTCAGACTGGATATTAGAAATCATTTCTTTACTGAGAGGGTAGACAGACCCTGAAATAGGTTTAGTAGAGGAGGGATCAATGCCTCAAAAGTGTTTAAGAGGCATTTGTACAACATGCTGAGCCCTTAAGTGGCCGGGCAGTTGGACTGGATGATCACTGGAGGTCCCTTTCAACTGAAATATCTGTTCTATTCTCTTATTCCTCCATATTTACTGCTGTTATATTGTAGGTCCCTTTCAACTGAAATATCTATTCTATTCTCTTATTCCTCCACATTTACTGCTGTTATATTGAAGTTAAATGCAGTCCTGAGTACTCATGATAGAGTATGGCATCAGCTGTGATTTTACTTTGGAGTTTTTTYCATGCTGTACATTTTCTGAAGAGGCAGTAACTGTGTCAGTGACTTTCACATGCCCCCTTTCTGTTTACAATGACCAAAATCAACTCCTCCTTGCTCACAGGATGCCTGCAGTGCAGGGAATCACAGCATAGGATTTCAGCTTGCACTAGTTTGAAAACAAACCAGCAGAGGAATTAACTCCACACAAATAYATTGTGAGAGATTCTAAGTCAGAACTACAATTTAATAGGAAAATTAAAATAAACTTAAACTGACCAAGTAATAGGATRCATTCTTTTGGTTACACCTTCCATGTAACCCAAGRCACAGCCATACAAAGACTGATGGGATTCTGCAGAAMTGCACAATTTTGTGGTGTGTGGCTGAGAAGCACCTACTGTGTGACCCTTGGTCTTCTCTGGAGGATTGTATTTTGTTGTGTTTGTCATCCTTCTCAGGGCTTTTTCTGAAACCTGATGAGACCAGGATGGAGAAATTTAATTTCATTCCCCTCCTTGAACATGGCAATTTCTGTTGAAGCTCTGAGTGAGTYTTAATGTGCTGTGACACTAAATGGTCCCGTGGCATTGGTGTGGGATCAGAAGACTGCAGTGAGATSAAAGGTAGGCAGAGCCCTCTGTGAGAGCCTCAGATCAACATATTCATCCAAATTCTGGTATTTACACTGCTGACTGGCCTTTAACTTTCAAGATAAAGCAAAATTGGCTCTGTTGTGCAGCCTTTTGATCCAAGTTGGGTTTTGAATGCTGCACCTAGCCTGCTCCCCTGGTTTGAGAGCAGCTTATGGTTTTTGCCTTTAGGAAGAACAGTGGAGGGACTGGATATTCCACATCAAAAGAGAGGAAATTAGATGTTATATTTCTSTTTGGTTTTAATKATTAAATTGTTTGGGGTTTCCCTTGTCACTGTAAACTAATCAYTCCTGCCATTCCACATCCATCAGGCTTCTTGCACTTCGTTTTGCAGGTCAGTTTGTGGCATTGTCACATCAGTGTCTCAGTCCTTCCCCAGGGCTTCAGGCTCTGCTCTCAGGAAGAGGAGCAATTGCAACATCTTTATTCCTTCTTTTCTTTATTTCTCCTTTCCCCTCCCATTGAACCTCTCATGCTTAGCAGTCAGGTTGATATGGCTCACCTTGGTATGTGCTTTGAGAGGGCAGTTTGGAAAAGGAGCTTTGCAGATGGAATGATTCTGGTTTACTTGTTAKGAAAACCATTTGACAAGCAAATGCATTTTCTTCAGCAAGCATTGATTACAATTATTTTTCTCCTGAGGACTACCCAGCAAATAACAGTTCCTTTGTTTTTCAAGATGTACTAGGAAGAGATTTTGTGGTTTTAGTTGCAATTTGTTAACCTAAGAAKGGCATTTTCTCTTCCATAATACTGTTTTTGAAGTTTACTTACACAGGATTAGTTTTGGCTTTGAAGGAAGGAAAAATAACCAGTCCTGCTTAATTTAGCAAAATCTGTAGTGGAAGGGAAAGGCTGGGCTCTATCTGTGGGTGGGATTGTCACAGCTGGCAGGCATTGTGGGTTTAAGCTTGGCCTAARTGACTTCAACAAGCAATAGTAATACTGGGCTGGATTGCATCTATGCCAGTGTAGCCCATATTAATCCCTTAAACAGCCTAGGAGAGTAAGAGGCAGACTAAGTTGAAAGTAGGCAATAAAATAGAAATGTGTTAATAATTATATACGATTTCCTTGAGAGAAAGGACCTCATTTAGGAACAGTTAAGGAAAACRAGAACTGAAGTGATGAGAACTGATAGGAATGGGTTTTCCAGCTTCTGCTCCCAGTGACTGTGAGCTGTTGCTGTGGTGGAAGAGCACCTCTCTGAAAAAAAATAAATGCACTGTGCAGGTACAGAGCCTCCTGAACTTTGCAGAGTTYCTACTGCACTTTAAAGCTGTGCTGCTGCTGCTGCTGTGGTTGGTGACTGTTGCAGGAAACAAGTTGTGTGGCAGGGCAGCTTGCAGAGGGCATGGCTGGAGAAAAGGGGCATTTCATGATTTCTGGCTCCTGTTTTTCCACCTTTTTCTGAGGTACTTGCACAGTTCTGGCTCAAGGACTCGGTCACAAACTTGTGTTTCTGGATGACTGAGTGTGCTAAAAGCTGTCATTTTTGCTGTTCCCCTATTAAGTTTTATTTTAATCACTTTAATAATGATCCCACTTTCACTGTTTATGCCAGATCAGTCCTGTTTGTTTTGTTTTCTGATACAGTGCATAAGGAGTTCCATTCTGTGCTATCACCTGACCTGTTACCACCTCCTGCTSTTCCCTTCTCCCACTGCCATGATCCAGCATGGGCAGCAAACATAAATTTGTGTGAGGACATTTTCAACTTCCTACTGCAAATTTGAAACCTCAGAGCACCAAGGCTTTAATCCCACTGAGAGTAAGTTACTCCATGAACTGGTGAAAGATTTAGCACAGGTTTTTGGTCGTGAAAACACAAATTCCCACTCTCCCTGCAAGCACACCCTGCTTAGTTACAAAGACACCATTTAACATTTGCTGATACCAGTTTTTCTGAGATAAATTTTGTTTTAAAGGMGCTTTTTTTCCTGCCTCATCTAAARTATCTTTATGAGAAGGTTTCCAAGTTTTCAATATGTGCTGCTGCTCTGGCAATCACAAGTGTGAAACAAAAGAGCTCATGGGGAGTTGGACCCTGTTCCTGCCCACTCACTGTGAGAAGGGAAGCAAATACAGATTTTGCCACAGGAGATTAATCAAAGATGCTGTTGCCCTCCACAATGTAAATTATTTATAGTCAGTCCAGAGTATTCTGCTGTGCTTCTGTTTTATACAGCTGTAAATTACTTGGATACGGTCCCAGTGGAAAGTCCTTACTATTTTGTAATGGAAAATAGGAACTCTGCAGTAGAAATCTATAATGAATGAACAGGAACATCATCTTCCAATTGTAAATAAGATCTTGCTCTGTTTATTTTGACATCTTTTTACAAATGTGTTGCATTCAGGTGTAAATATCCCAAACCATGATCTTGTTCAGAGTTCTGAGATTTCTATTATTAAATGTAATACTTTGTTTAATAGCTGTAATAATTATTTGTATAGATATGAACATGATAGTATTTTATTAAAAAAAAACCCAAAACACTCTTTTGAATGTTGTTGTTGTTGGTACAGCTTCTTCTCCCATGGAAAGCCATGCCACTCTTAATTACAGGTAAAAAAGAAGAGCTTTGCTTTGAGACGGGGATGTTTTCCACTGAT